AAAGAAGTTAAATTCCACTTCCAAATTCTAACTTTACCCCTCAGTCATTCCATTTGCTCCATTATCTATTTGCGACCGTCGGCCTTTTTGAGCCCTGCCAGGCAGATTCAACTCTAGTTGATTTTTGTCCTTTGCTAGTCATGTTTTGGAGTCTCTTTAAAATCAAACAGAATACTTGCATTGAAAAAATTAGTGCTCACAAAGATGATTTTAAGTGTTTAAACATGAATTGCAAATCCTTAACATTCAAATGTAGTTAACATTTTCAAGAAATAGCATTTTGTTTCCTAAGAAAAATGGAAAAAAATAGAATTAGGTTCAAGTGCACATGCTTTGTATAGCATGAGATGGACAATTATCCATAATAAATTAAAATAAAAAAACAAGGTACAGAAGAATATATAAAATATAATCCCATATTTTTTATTGAAGAAAGGATTTATACATATAAATGTGTGTATATATATGTGTATGTGTGTGTGACATGTTTATATATGTATGCATGTGTATATGTTTTAAGAATCTAGAAAGATTAACAAGATACCTCTGAGAAGCGGGTATAGATTAGGGAGATTTTCAACCTTTTTTCCATACTTTTATCTTTTTGAATTTATTATGATACATACATTTTTTAATGAGAAAGATTAAAATGTTCTCTAAGAGTAGGAAAAATGCAAGAGTAAAGCATTGTGGAAGTTGTATATTCAAATATCAAATTAATAATCATATCTGGGTTCATTTAACCATTCCTTGGGTTTCAGAAAGATCACATTTAAAAACTTAATTTTAGTTCATGAGTATGTGGTAGTTTTGCCTCACGTTATTCATGAATTATTAAACATAGTCTCCTGTCAGTCAAACTGAAATATCTTTCTCAGATTAGTATCCTGTTTAAATATATTAGCTTCATCAAAAATAATTTTCGATATTTTTCTTCATTCCTGCCATTACAACTACCAACCATAACTACCACTTCTAAATCAGCTTTATAGAAAAACTATACATCTGCCTCTGATTTTTTAAATTTGTAATTATTGTAAGAGCTAGATGTATAGTTATAGAACCTTAATTTCCATTATATAGTTGAACAACAGGGTCCTCACTTTTTTTCTTGGCATTGCCTTCACCTCCACCATTGCCACTGTTCCAAAACCACCTCTACCTGGCAATATTAATAAGCGGATGAGGGCTTCTGCCCCCTCATCCCTTTCAATGCTCATCAAAATCATGCACTGTAGATTTACAAAGGAAAAAGAAATGACTCTTGTCCCTAAAGGATGAATTGAATGATTATTCTTTATCACAGCATGATCTAATGGCTAAAAGTATAAGTACTAGAGGGAGATTGCCTAAGTTCAAACCCTGACTCTATCACTTATTAGCAATGTGACCTTCAACAAGTTACTTGATCTCTCTAACCCTCAATTTCCTCATCTTTACATGGGCTCCATAATACTCTCTATCTTACAGGGCCTATGATTTAATACACATAAATAACTTAGACTGCCATCTGCCAGAAATAACCGTCTGCCTTATGTAGATGCTCAATAAATATAAGTAGCTATCATCATTACCATTTCCATCAACAGTATCATCCTGATTCTTTTAATTCAGATTGAGGACTTAGTATCAAGAGGCCATTAAAGGTGACAGTCTTCAGGTATAAAAACCTTCTTCAATTTTGTCTGTGGGCCAACTCCCCAGTTATTGCCCCTCTCCTGCATTTCCCTGGCTGCCAACTTTCCAGCCCTTTTCTTTCCTTTATTAACTCCTTTCTACTGTGCGGCAACGTACCTAATGGAGGCAGATGGACCCTCCCCCACCCAAAATTTGATTCAGATGCCAAAACTGATGATGCCTTACACATGAAAAAGGGTATAAAGAGGTTTACTATTCACATGAGGCTTTCTAGAGAGAACCGGGCAGGCTCCCAGGCAGGTCTGAAAATGGCTTGAGAGAAGAGGAAGGGGTGACCGGCTTGGGTTTTTATGGTGATTAGGAGTGGAGCAAGTGTGACGGTTCCCTTTCGTGGGGCAGGACGAGCATAGATTGAAATTCTCACAGGTGCCAAAAGAGGGGGAACCCAGGTTTTTTATAAGCTTGTTCAGAAGTGGGGCAGAAAGACAAGAGGAAATTGGGCTTCAAAGCTATCAGCAGTCAAACATCAAAAGCAGAATCAGACTTTTTATTAATCTACTCAAAATGAAGGCTCCACATCTTCCCAAGGAAGCACCACCTTTCCTGGTAGGTAAAGTGACTCCTCCTGGCCTGCACCTGCAGCTACAATACCACCCTTCGTCTTCCCTTCCCTGAGGAACCACAAGACAGAGCAGCATTTTTCCTGTGTGGTTACTCCTCTCCACTCCCATCCCCCCCAAAAGACAATTATTCTTCAGAAAATTACAAGTAAAGAAAGGATGCAGTTACCTAAATATCTTTTGAGAACCTCAGAACCAGGTAAGGAAGAAAAGGATAATGAGCACTTAATTGAAAATAGGATACTAGGAGCAGAGTCTGCCATTCAGCGTTAGGTGTATTTCTTAGGCCAAGATGGCAAAGTTATTTGCCTGATTCATGTAATAGGTTTGCCATATTGGGTTTCTAAGAAATTACTCCTGAGACTAGTAGAAGAGTTCTCTAACTCTGCAATACCTATGATTTTATTTTATAATTTTTAACCTGTAGTCCCTGTGTTTAGAATTATTTTATCTCAAACAGCATTTGTCATAGAAAAATTAATCTTACCACTTATTCTAAGGTAAGACTAACCATAAAATTCATTTTCATATTTGTTCATTTCATTGTTCTTTGCTATATTTTAGTAAATATTAATAACATTGACATCACAGTTATTAGAGATGCATGAGACAGATAAGGGAAAAAACAAGGGTAAGGTATTATATGTAACATGGCATCCTGGTTGTTACAGAATGGCCCTCAGAGAAACCCTGCAGATGGTCTAAAAATATGGCTTTAAACTTCCTTTTACTCATTGTGAAAAGGGAAACCTGAACAAAATATGTGTGTGGACGTGACCACAACTGGTGCTTTTGATCGGCACAAGTAACCAACGTTACCAACATGGGTTTATATAATTCCAACAAGATGCAAAGAAATACCATCATTTGGTTACCTTTTTGTAGATCTATCATAGACAAACTATGGTGTCCATGACACTTTAAAATAATAAAAATAATTTATGGATACTCTTCCCCTCTTCTTTGAATCCCTAGCTGCCTCAATCCCAGGTTGAAATCCAATAACCTCGTACCTACTGTGAATATTTTCCTCCAGATAAAATGTTTTTCTTCATTTGTTATAGCTAATAAATGGTTGATTGCTCTTTCATGCAGACATCAGCTATGTATTGAAGACTTTCCCTCTTGCAGAAGCATGCAAACACAATGTATTGTGGAGAAAGGTCTTTAGAGGCCATCCCACAAAACGTAATTACTATTCATTCCTCAGCTGTAGGTATGGAAGTTAAAGGGGACCTTTGAATCAAATAATTAACCAGACTGAAGTTCAGTTGGTTGAGCAAACATTGATGAAGTGTAAGGCCCAGCTAAGCAGAGATGTGTATGTCAAGTTCCGTGTCCCCTAAGAGCTTGGAGTCTAAAGAAGCATGTCGTATCAGTAAGTGTAACGTTTCCAAGAAGAAGCTTGTTCTAATGAAAACTTCAATTTTTTCTCATAGGTTGGTACAATAGGCTTTTCATCAACTTTGTGCTAAGGAGGCACATTTTCTTCTTTGTGCTGCAAATCTATTTCCCGGCCATGTTGATGGTGTTGCTTTCATGGGTTTCGTTTTGGATTGACCGAAGAGCTGTTCCTGCAAGAGTTTCTCTGGGTAAATCTCTCTCCATCTTTGTAAAATATTAACATGGGAGAAAAGTTAAGGGAGGTAAATAAAAATGAGTGATACATAGGAAGGAAAGGAGAGTGGTTGTTTAGCAGGGTTACTTAGAGATGCACATTCAGGTTAAAGCATTTATCTTGACAGCTTCAAGGACAAATTGTAAGTGGGTTTTTTTCCTTGGGAACCCAGACTCTAGGGATGTAAGCTGTGCTGGCTGACCCACAGCTGGGTGATAGGAAGGAGAGAGGATGAAATTATGAAGCATAAACAGCCTCACTTGAAAAATTTATCTTTTCTGTTTCAAAAAAATCTCCCTATGCATTATTCAAGTCCATTTAGCTTTGCATGACAAACCCTTACATCACAGAAGGAAGACTCTTCAAACAAATTCACACTATATAGTTCGTGTCTTAATAACAAATTACTTTGGTGGGTTGGCGGCCGGGGTGGGGAGTACTTGAATTTGGAAACATGAGTGCTAATTAGAAATTAGGGCTTAACCCAAGGGCCAAAATTAGAATCAACCACGATGGAATTTTAGATACTACAGTAGGTTAGTTGGCAAGAGATTTTAGGTGGAGAGACGTTGTCGGCCACATTAAGTCACCACGAAGAGTAATTACCTACTCCATCTAGCATGTTGTATGCCCCTGTCACACACATTGATTTATGGGAACCATTTCAGACCCACTTAGCAGTTATTGAGTCCTTACAAAGTGGAAGATGCCAAGCTGTGCACTTAGATGACATGTTACTTAATGAGAACCCAAGAGATAACCCCACTTGCTTTCCTGGCCAGTCAGGGCAGAGCTCCCTCATTCCAACTGATTTTGTTCTTTCATTTGTAATGTTCTATCTAGAGAGAGGATTGTCATAAGTGGTTCACAATTATTGTAATTATCACACAATTCATTCCAGAAAGGGTGGTTTCTAAGTTAATGTTCACAAATTACATGCATACTTCAAAAAATCATTTGAAAGACATAAATTATTAATATTAATAATTTGTTCACCTCTTTCCCCTATTAAAAGCTTCAATCCACAAGCATTTGAGGCTTAAATGTCTTCAAGAAAAAAATGCTATCCGAATGAATAATTACATTATCGTGACTGTTTCTTCACATCAGAGCATTTGTGCCCTGACCTCAGCAGCATAGACCCAAACAGGAGACCGAGGGCACATTTCCAGCCCTCGAGACACGATGAGAAAGGCACTCAGTTTATAAAGGCTTATGAACATGATTTTCAAACAGATTCCTGAAGTGGAATCTCTGCTCCTACGCTGTGACAACAATAAGAGCTAGTTCCATGGCAGGTTGGAGTGAATAAGGAACACTGAAATACATTTAAGTCACTCCTGAAATTCTGAGCTTCTTGAATCTACATCTGATCTCTTAGGGTTAGGAAATTGCTATGCAGATTTATGTAAAATTATATGCAAACCAGAATAGTTCCTCTCCCTTCCCAGCGTTTTATTTTAAATAAAGAGAACAGCAGTATTCCTGTAACACTGCTATCCTCTCAGGCTTTGCTCCCTGCCGCTCTCATGTTTCTTTAAAAGAGACTTTGCCCTCTGCTAAACTCACTATTCCTAAATGCTGTGCTACTCCATTCTGTGGAAGGTCCCTGTGAATACCTGTTCACCTATCCCACTTGCCTTTTCTCAGCTGTTCCCCTCCTTAACCGTCTCTAAAACATTTGACAGTATTAAGCATCCTCTCCAAATCCAGAACCAAGGGTAGTGGTCAAGAGTCCAGCATCAACTTCCTCATCTATAAAATGAGATTATTGATACTACCTTCTAAAGGTCACTGTGAGAGTGAAATGGGAGAATTTGTGTCAAGTGCCGAGCTTGACAGCTTTTAGCGTTTGATAAAACCAACCACACACACAATGCATTAGTTTTCATCGCCCTGCAGTAGTCTAGTTGTTCTCCTCCGTTGGACTTTTCTTTCCTTTCTCTTTCCCGCATTTCACTTCTCCTTTCCACTTCTTAAGTATGGGTAACTCCCTCCCAAGGATCTGCTCACTTTTGATTCTCTTATCAAATGTAATAAGCTTCTTGGTTCCAACTACTGTCCCTATGAAAATAAATCGCAACTCAGCGTCATTATCTCAAATCTTTTTCTCAAGTTCCATTTGGGTGGTTCCGGTTGTATGCTGGACTCAGCATGTTCAAAACTGAACCAACTGCTGTCCCCTCCAATTCTCAGCCCACTTATTCTCTTCACTTTCCTCATTCTGCTTAGGGCCCCCCAGTTTACTGAGTCTTTCATATTTGAAACCTCAATTTCCTTCTTCAACAGTTGTTCTCAAACTCTGGTCTTAGGGCCCATTTTCACTCTTAAAAATTACTGAGGACTCCAAAGAGCTTTTGTTTTGGTGGGGTTGTATCTATCATTATGAGCCATATTAGGTGTTAAAACAGAATTTTAAAACATTTATTAATTCATTTGAAGCTAGCAATAATAAACTCATTACAAGTTAACATGATAACATATTGTATCAAATGTAATTGTTTTTTATAAAATGAAAAATTTAGTGAGAAGAGTAGCTTTTTTTACATTTTTGCAAACCTTTAATGTCTGGCTTTATAGAGGGCAGCTAGATTCTTATCTCTGTTTCTTAATTCAGTCTGTTGCCATAGGTTTTGGCTGAAATATAGGGAGATATCTAACTTTATCAGATAGGTAGTTGGAAAAAGGAGTTTTCAATATTTTAATATATTTTAATAGTCTTTGCAGATCATTGTGGGTAGTCTTTTTTCATATTACCCCCAAACTCAGCAAATGATAGTTTCTTAAAGGTCAGTTGCAATGTGGAATCTGAAACCATCTTGACAAATTTTTTCTATTCTGTTAGATTAAAATCCATTGGTCTGTGCTGTTCTTTGAATTGATTTTTTACCCATGAATTCATCATTCAGAAAATATTGGTTCACTGAGTTATACAGATCTTCCAAATGGTTACGTAATTCATTATACCAGTTTGGATCATAATCTTAAAAGACCCAATACCAAAGGCCATAATCCTGAATGTTGAAATCTTGAAAGATCAAAATCCTTGAAGTCTAAATCCCTAAAGTCTATAATCTTTACCATTTAAAATCCTGAAAATCACAATCACAGGATAGTTGCATCATGTTAGGCTAGCTTTTATGGGCTATCTATGCCCATAATCTATCCCCATAATATACTTTTCATATGTGCAATTTTGGTTTTAGTTTTTTTGTTTTGTTTTTTCTTTTTCTTTTTTTAGTTTTTTTTTTCATTACTCTAAATTGTCAACATTATATTTTACAATTTGCTATGCCATGTATTTCATCTTTGCAACATTTCTAATACTGAAGGTATAAATTGTACAGACACTTTTAGAGCAGTGGTCCCCATCCTTTTTGGTACCAGGGACCGGTTTCATGGAAGACAATTTTTCCAGGGACATTGGGGGAGGAGGAGGTGGAGCTCAAGCAGTGATACAAGTGATGGGGAAGCAAGTGGCTATAAATACAGAAGAAACTTTGCTTCCTCACCCACCACTGCTCACCTCCTGCTGGGCACCCTCCTCCTTCCTAAGTTTCATGGCAGGGGTGACGTGGGGCAGTGGAGCTCTGTGGCCAGGCCCTAAGAGGGTGAGGACTGGTACCAGTCCATGGCCCAGAGGTTGGGGACCACAGTTTTAGAGAGCTCTAATTCATTTTATACCTTCTTTGCATGTTTAACTCCTCTAAAGTACATTTCCATAATGCTGACTTTGTATGTAAGCATTGTATGTGTATGTAAAAATGTTGAAATTTCTCCTATAAGTGAAACAATGCTCTCTTTGTACAGCTGCATTTATTTGTTTCTCAAATAAATCCCCTTTTAAAAATGTAAATAACTATCCTTTTAAAAAATTTTAAATTACTTTTTTTCCAGAATTATATTTTTAGGATTTTGATCTTTCAAGATTGTGTTTTTCAGGATTTTAGACTTTAGAGATTTTGATCTTTTGGGATTCCAACATTTGGAATTATGGCATTTGGGATTGTGTCTTTTGGGGTTATGGTCAGCTCCCCTTCTTTACCTGTGTCTCTTTGTCAAAATCCTGCTTCTTTCAATGGCCAGAAACTTTTACTCAGGCTCCAAGCACATGAGGTCTCTTCCATCTTTGAACCACATGGCACCTTGTATGTCTCCTAATGTAACTTCTTCCCCTATTTTCTCTATTTCTGTTTGGCTATGAAATAGAGGAAGAAGCAGAGTAGCTTTTCTTATCTCCTCTATTAGAATGTGAGCTTCTTAAGGACAAGAATCATTATTGCCATTTTTTGTTCCTGCAGTGAGTAACACAGTGCCTTCCTGCCCATAGTTTATGCTCAATACACAGCTGTTAAGTTGCCAGGATTTAGCCTACCATATTTTTACTGATTGTGCTTAGTTATTAACTGAAAACAATAAAGGATAATTCATTTGCTGGTTAAGACCCTCCCCAAATTGCCATGTGTCAGGTAAAGAGCAATATAGGGTGAATAGCCTAGAAGTATCAATTGTGATTAGAAAATTCTCATAAGAGACAATAGCTACCGTAACTTGGTATATGTGATGGTTCAAAAATACTATTACATCTCTCCATTCCATTTGGTATGGAAAGACTGTGAGACAATTACAGAGTTGTCCAAGGGTGTTTTAGCCCTCATGGAGGGAGGAGTAGTGTTATACCTTCTCCTCTCACTTCTACCTCTCTCCTGCTTTCTTTGCCTCCATTATTTTTGTTTGGCCCCTATGCATGGGAATGGCCTTCCCTACACAACACGTTAAGTAATGAGGTCATTTACTGGGAATCAGACATGGCAGAGGAAGGCAATGAAAGCTTTCAGGCCTGTAGTCACTCAGAGACTGTTAGGAGAGAAAAATGTCTCCTAACAGAGGATATGCCACATGCCTGGAAAAGTGAATACTTAGGGAACTGGATAAGGGCAATTCATTTTGCCATCACAGAGATTACCAGAATTTCTAATGATAGTCACTGGACTCTAGCACCACCTGTGTGGGAAAATGGTTGTCAGTTTCTGGCCATCGAGCAGCGTTAGAATATCCAACCCACCTTCCTTTTCTTCATATAATGTAATATTTTCTTTCTGCCTAGGCCTATAGGGAAAATATTTTTACTCATTTGAAGATGAATGTAAATATCCCCTCCCTTCAAAAGAACTACCTGCAACACAGCTACTGAAGAGCTGAACAAACTCAATAGTTGTATAAGTGATGCCTGTCTGTCCTATCGCTATCACACTGGTCAATGAACCTTTCCGCCATGTATGGCTAAAAATGGCCAGTGAAACACAAAGATGTATAATTCTTCCCAGACTGTAGGGTTCTCAGGACCCCATGCATGTCCTTAAAAGTTAATATAGTGAAGCTGCAAGGGCTCAGGAGGATTGAGTCAAAGGGCCAGAGTAAATATTTTCTCATAACGCTTTCCTAACTATGCATAGCAGTATCAGTACGAGGGAAGATAATTTTCTAATCCCAACACATGACCTTCCTTTGACTAAATGGTCACTTCATATAATTTAAAACTCCTTTATTGGGATGTTAACTTTAATGGGTTTGGAAGACATACTATTTGTCAAGATTAATGTATTTCTGAGGGATGGCTCAAGACATAATAAGTGTGTTTAGTGTAGCTACAATACTCCTGACTTCAAGTTCTATTGCTTTAGGAATTTATATATCAGTTTTCTCATCATTCACTCCCTCCTTACCCAACAATCCCTCCTCCTCACTCTCTAATTCTTTTTTTTTATTGTTCATTTTGAACAAGGAAAATCTAGAATGCTGGTTTTAAAATAAATAAAGCTATAGTAAATTAGCTGGACTAATCACCCTTTCAAAGAAAATGACTGATAGTTAGTTTATTACTCTCTGGCAAATATAGATAATTTGATTCCTTTTTATTAGCCCGGTAGTCATCAATTTCAGATACATGATGAGACTGTTCTGGCATGTATACGTGTGTGTTTGTTTGAAACTCTTATTTCATCCACTAAGCCCCATATTACTGTTTATCGAAAAAAAATTGTTTTATCTTCCGTATCTTAGAAAACCAGTAAGAGAAGACATTTTAAAATTTTTGAACTAATGAGGTAAGCTACTATATAAGAATGTTAAATCAGGATTCCTTCAGTTCCTACTACAGTGAAATCTTGAAGGGAATAAGACATTTGGCCTATTGAAAAGCATAAAGTGGTTTCTTTGTGCCTCTTAACATAATTCTACACTCAATTTTATAGCATCTTATCCTAGAGATCCTCCATATATAGAATTGGTTTATAATCTTATTACCTTTATAAGTCCAGAATGAGAGGCAGCAGGTTCGTGTATAAAAATCATGGGTTCTGCACTCAGACGGAAAGGTTCTGCACTCCTAACAAAATTTGGTTTAATTACTTAGCCACTCTCAACTCATATTTGTTTTCTGCAATGTGTGGCTAATAATTATTTACCTAAGTGTGTGTTGGGTAAATATTCGATAAAAGCAGGCAGGTTTTATTTAATAATCTTGGCTTCAGCTGTACCTACAATGTTAATAAAAATTCCACATCTCCATGTTTATGTAGCAAGTATGTTTTGGAGCCAAGGAATGCAAACAGCATACACTGATATGCAGATTGTCGATATTAACATTGTAGGGGGAAACCTGGGACCCAATGAGACAGTGGCCTGTGTTTAATGTTAAGAGATAGAACAGCATTTAGGTTTTTTATCCTGGAATTCACATCAGTGTGAAGGTGAGATTTCAGGTCCTCCCATGATACTGTCAAATTGCCAAGTTGCTTTGGTCTTGATCACACGAACTAAAAACTTCATTTGAAATAGAATGGCTCTACAGAGTTGTCACTGTGTTTGATATGGGGCTCCCTCGGATGAGAACCTTGCAGAATTATTATGGAAAGGATAGAGATGTGTTGATGAAAGCAGTCCACATGCTGTGTCTGTACATTTAGGAGTAAATCATGGTGCTCTTCCTGCTGTTTGGGACTCTGTCTCTTGACATTAAAATGTTCTTACAACTTATAAAAATCATTAAGGATTCCATTTGCACCTCCCTGGTGGGAAGTTGAGAAATAAAACCATGCCAGACAGTGTAAATTTCAAATATTTACAATAGTATACTTTCTCTCCAGGCAGGACTCTTGCAATATCCCTCTGAGAAATTAGTGTAGACACTGAACGGCCCTCCCCAAGGCCAGCATTTTATTAAGGAAATCTCAGAGTCACTTCTTCCTCCATTGTCCCCCAGAATCCTGATCTTATTTCTGATGCTCATGCCAGAGAACAAAAGAATAACAGAAAAGAAAAAAGAAAAAGGAAATGGAAAGGGAAGGCAGCAGAAGGAAGGGAGAAGAAGGGAAGAGGAGGAAAGGTAGGAGAGGGAACAGAGGGGAAGGCAAGGAAAGCAGAAAAGTCACTGGAATTTAGCAGTTGCCCAGTAAGTGTTCACAAGGAGCTGAGCCTCCACTGGCACACTTAGCTCTGAATCTCAGTGGAACTGCAGTTTCATTAACAATGATCAAAGGACTAACAATGGCTTTTAAGTGTTCTCTATGAAAGAATAATACAGAGAATAGCAATCTTTAATGCTACTAAAGCTCACTCAAGAAGAAATAAGCTCCCCTGAAGCATGAAAGATTAAAGGTAGACACAAAGGCAATTTCTTAACAGTAAAAATTATAAAATGATGGGAAAGGTTGATGGAAATGATTTTGGAATTTCTTTCTGAGAAGAATTTTTAAAAATTGAACCCATGTTTCCCTTTCTGGGATGGTTAGAAGAGGCCCATCTGAGGGTAGGAGGCAGAAATGGCAGACTCTGGACCCTGTGAAGTCTTCAAATGGAGGAAAGGAAACATTGTGGACAACAGGGATGAGATCAAGGAAAAGAGGTGGAAAGAGAAATCCCATGACAGCTTCTGGCTTAGGCTCAAGATGTGTACTTGGGTAACATGCAGAGATCTCCCCCCTCTTGGATCACCAGACTGATACTGCTCCCATTTCTAGTGAGAGCGTGCAGCAGCTGGAGTGATCCAGCACCAGATCCCGGAACTGAACGCTTCTGTCGCTGAGCTTGTCGCTGTGCTTGCATGGCAGGAATCACCACAGTGCTGACCATGTCCACGATCGCCACCAGTGTGAGTGCCTCCATGCCTCAGGTGTCCTACGTCAAGGCTGTGGACGTGTACTTATGGGTCAGCTCCACCTTTGTGTTCCTGTCGGTCATTGAGTACGCAGCCGTGAATTATCTCACCACCGTGGAAGAGTGGAAACGATTCAAGAAGAGAGGGCAGGTACAGCCTTGCTTTGACTGTCAGATCTCTTTTGGAATGTGGAAAAGAATAAGCCCTTGTGTTAAGTCCATATGCCTTGGCAAGATGAAAATTTACAGGACGGTGACAATTTAATAGTGAATTTTAATCTCTGCTCTATGCTGGCTGGTTTCTCAGCATCTTCATTCACCTTTACCAGGAGTTTTAGTGTGGGAATTTCTCTCATTGTGCTCATCTCCCCTAACTGTACCCCTGGAATAGAAGGGGTTGATACAAACTACATCCTTTCAAGTGGATGACAATCAGAATGATGATAGTAATAGCTAACACATAATGAGTGTTTATTATATATTGGCATCATGCCAACCACCTAACATATATTTTGTCATTTAATTTTCATAGTAACACTGAGAGATCAGATTTTATCACCCTCCAAGTACAGACAGGTGGTAACTTGGACAAGGTCATATAGCTAAAGAGAGATCAGGATTTGCTTCCAGGCCTCCTTGACTCCAAAGTCTGTGCTTTCAACCAATAAATGATATGTTTCTTTCCACCGAGAGCCAGGATTTATTTTCCTCTTGCCACTTGGGAGAGTGGTAGAACATAAAAGGAGGTTTTTCTCTCCAAAATATCTTGGGACTAAGGTGCCTTCTGGGTACTAAATGTTATCACATCTTTTTTGTGACATTGCTTGATACGTGGATCGATTGCTCTCTGCTTGCTTCATTTCACAAAGAATTTGGGCACCAATTCCCTGTTCTTACAAGAATGGACATATGATACTGTACTTCAGAAATCTAATTGATAAGTCATTCATTTGTTTGCCTATATTTAAGACTATATATATATATATATATATACACACACACACACACGCATTCACACACGTACACATATGTATATAGTATAAATGTATGTGTATATATAATCTAGTATATATGTGCATGCACACATAATTTCAATGAACTGTATTCACATTGGCTTAAGAAATTCTTATGTGAGCATTTATATACACCCAAAACATTATTTAATATTTTTATACTTCTAGAGAGAGCATTTCATACTTTCAGAGGGTTTTTATATCCTACTCTCCACTGAATCTGTATCTCAGCTCCCTGATGTAGGTTGTGCAGAGACTATTATTTCTGTTTTATAAATGAAGTAGCAGAATTTTAGTGAAGTAAAGTGATTTGCCAAAAGACTCAGAGCCAACAGAGCTGCAATTGCAATTCAGATCTCCTGGAATGCTAACTTCAGTCTTTGATTTTATATCCTTTGAGTCAAAGATCTAATAGGAGCTGATTCTGTTTTATTGCAGATGCTTCTATTCCTTTCATTGATAGCATGTGGCTATGTGTGCCTGTCACACACACACCCACAGTGAGCGCCATGCAGGTGTGAGGGAACCGGGTGCTTTCAGACCACTGCGCAGCAATGGTGCGTGCGCCTCACCTGGGTCCTTGTTAAGACTCCCAGTAGGTGTGGGGTGCAGTAAGACTGCATTTCTGACAAGTTCCAGAGGATGCTGGTGCTGCTGGCCCATTACCCGCACTGAATAACAATGATGTGGATAAAATGAAGGTGACAGGAAAAAATGTGCAAAGAGCAAAAGAATTTTGTTCCTCTTTTATTTTGTTTTTATGCGGTTTGTGGTTAATATAAGAAAAAGACACTGAAGTAATTTTGGCCCACCTCTATCTAATCCTTTGACTCCACAATATTTACATTTCCCTGCCCCACCTGCCATACAGCACATGTGTTCACAATGCTTGATTTTTTTCTCACTCGATGATGTTATACACAATCTTCTTGTGTACCACTATAGATTCTTTTGAGTTAATAAGCACCATTCTTTTTTAAAATTATTTTTTTATTTTTAATTGTGATTAAATATACACAATTTAGAATTTTCATCATCTAACTATTTTTAAGTGTACAGTTCACTAGTGTTAAGTATATTTTCATTTTTTGTGCAACCAATCTCCAGAGCTTCTTCATCTTGCAAAACTGAAACTCCATACCCATTAAACAACAACTCCCCATTTCCTTCTCTCTTCAGCCCCTGGAAACCACCATTCTAAACATCCTCAATTATCTCAAAGAAATACAATTATTTAAAAGACATGTCCTACTTGCCATTCATATATTTTTGGGGCAAAGTGAAGAAATGATTTGGAGTCAGAAGTGATGCCAAATAGAACTCTACCACATCCCAGTTTTGTGTTCCAGGCTACGTCTCCTAAACCTTGTTCTGCATTTGCAAAATAGTGTCATCTCTTCCCTATTTACTTCATAGGGCTGTTATGAAGATCAAATTATATAATAAATGGGTCTGAAACCTTTGCAAATATAAAGTGCTATACAAATCTGAATTTTTGTAGTGCTTAGCGCCCAGAGCATTCACTCTGAGAGAAAAGGAATATTAACAGGGATAGTGGAAATAGGCCAGCTGAGATGAGCAGCCTTGGAAGGGATGGCATGGCCTAGTGAGGGGCAGGGTGAAGGATATGTCTGTGGGTGTGGGAGCTAAACCATGACACCTCTCTCTATATATACCTGAATTGGAAACCAGTTTTAAAGAAAGAGTCAGAAGTGAGAGCCAGACAAATGGATATGGATATAATAATTTTATCTTTGTTACTTATAAAGCACTTTGGAGAAAGTTTCTTAGATCTGTGAGCAGGAAGGCTTATTAATATTTCATCTGCAGCTTAAATGTCCTTACTGTCTTGGTCATGGCAAAGCTAGAAAATTCCAGGCTTTCCCTGTAAGGACAGTTACCTTGTACCTCATTTCAGAGAACAGAGCTGAACACCAATGCAGATACCAAAGTGAGGACTAAAAGGGGACTGAAACTCATGCCAGTTTTTTCTCCCAAACTGCGAGGGTAGCATCACTGAGGGATGGTGAGAAGGGTCTGCAATGTTAGGCCTCCCTAAGGAGTTCTTGCCTGTGAAAACACGCAGTCAGGTAAAACTCGTTTACACCACTCACCACGGCACCACCACTACCACTACCTGCCACCGTCACACACACACACACACTCCAACCACTTCCCAGATACTAAGAGCTGGGAGAACAAGGGCTATGGAAAACCTATCCCTAGTGCTGACTATTGCTCAAAAGCAAGAGAGGTAGCTATTTTCTTTCTTATCCCTTCATCCAAATATTTTCCTAATTTCATGTCCTAGAATTCAGTCGAAATAGCCAATCTATAGTTTAGATATAATATCCCTTAGGTATGTGCTTATTTATGGACTGGAGTGAAAAATTAAAGACCCATTCTAAAGCTGTTTCTATCGAAACAAATGATTTATAAGCTTGTGGATTGTTTGAGGAACATGACATACAAACAAAAAAAAAAAAGTGAAAAAAAAAGCTTGTGGAAAATAGCAGCAGCCTATTGATAAACCATGGACTACAAGATTTGATCAATTATATACATAGTTCTAGATTATCACAATGGAAAAATGAAATGGCTCCCTTGTTCTCAAAAGAATATATGTCTTCCTTAACACACTGATGATATTTTTGTTAAGATAAAAAATTATTCGGCTGGTGGAACAGCTCGACAGTGTTCTGGGTGGGTAGGGAAATCATTGAAGGGATGGTATATAGTTATTCTATCCTCAGATCTAGAATTGAATATATTATTAATATTGTTAGCTATCTGAGGTTATTCAGTCTTGATCTCATTTCATGTTTATTTTGTCCATTTTTATTTTATTAT